TGCCCCGCCGGCGCACCATGTGCAGCGGCGTCGGCTGCTTCTGGGCGCTGCTCTCCGCCGGCCTCCTGGCCGCCTGCGCCGCCGCCTTCCTCTCGCCGGCCTGGCTGCTGCCGCCCGGCCGCGCCGCCGCCGGCTTCGGCTTGCTCTGGCGCTGCGCCGGGCCGCCCCGCGGCTGCCACGGCTCCGCCGGCCCCGGCGGCTTCGGAGACATCCCCTCCGGTTCCTGGCAGGTGAGCGCCTCCCCGCCGCGGCACCCCCAGCGCCTCTCCCGGGCTCCCCGGCATCCCTTGTCACGCTCCCGACATCCCGCCTGCCCTTCCCTGGACTCCCCGGCATCYCTCATCAGCTCCCCAGCATCTCCCACGCCTGCTTCGAGCTCCCCGGAATCCCCATCACTTCTCCTGCATCCCCCGTTGCCTCCTCTGCATCCCCCCTCCGCCTGCTTTGGGCTCTCCGGCATCACCCCGTCACCTCCTGGCATCCCCCCGGACCTGCCCCAGCCTCTCCAGTATCTCTCTGTCYTCCTCACGTCCCTGAGATCCCCCTGTCATCACCGCAGATCCCCTGTCCTGTCCTCCAGACCTGCTCCAGCATCCCTGTCCTGCGYTGAGCATCCCAGGCATCCCCCATGCTGCCCTCGAGCATCCTCTGCATCTCCCCGAGCTCTCTCCAGCATCCCTTTCACCCTCTGTATCCCACACGCCCTGCCCCGAGCATCTCCCCAGCACCCCGTGCGTATTCCGCGCTTCCTGTGGGGTCACATCTGTCTTTGGGACTCTCGGCTGTTCTTGGGGTGCTGCATGGACCCCCCGTGCCCGCGTGGCGGTCAGTGCAGCCCGGGCTGGCCGCGGTGCAGGTTCCGGCCGTGGCCCCGGCAGCGCCGCGGGGCTGACCCGGCCACCCTGCCCTGCCAGCGCCCCAAACCCCTCCCCCGTGCCCGGGCACGCTCCTGCGGGGTGGTCGGGAGGGAGTCAGGGAGAAGCTGGAGAGGTTTTTGTGCTTCCCAGCGGGACATGGAGCGTCACTTGCCGGCTGAGTTTGCTGTGCAGGAAGGAACAGGGAGGTGGCTGAAGCTGCTGCCCCTGGGACGCGTGGCTCCAGCAATCGAGCCTGGATGCAGGGGCTGAGGGGGGCTGTGGTTGTCCCCCTGCGTGGCCACCCGGGGTGATGTCCTTGCCAGGTTTTGGGAAGGAGGGAGGCCCAGACCACCCCGCTTGCCCCATGGGGCTTGGGCTTGCTGTGATGCCCCAGGGTGACAAAGAGCCGCCCGTCACGCTGGGTGTGTGCAGGGACCGCACAAAGCCCGGCATCCCACCGCCCGCTTGCCCCTGCCCTTTCTCCCTCTCCTCCCTTCATTCTTTGCTTCTTACCCCGAGGCTGTGAGCGTGATTTCCCCGCCACTGCTTGGAACACATGAGCTTGGACTTGCTCCAGGTCCCTGTGTGGCAGAATCCCCAAACCCGGGGCTGCATCCCCGGGAGGTCATGGATGTGCCCGGCACAAAGGGTGTCAGCGCTCGGATTTCTCAGCCCGCCATGGAGCTGCGCTGTTATCTCTCCCAGGACACCAGGTCTGCGTGTGATTGCTTAAATCCCACCACGGTCCTTAAAATTGGCATTAAAGACAAATATTGTGAATTGCAAAGAAAAGAACCAGCTGTATAAACTCCTTCCTATTTATATAAAAAGGTGCAAAAATGCTCTTGTTTCCATGGGCTGGCCTTTGTTCAGATGTTTTTGCAAATGTGATGCAGATAAACACTTCCAAGTAATAACAAACTTCAAAGATAAGAACGAAGCTCAGCAGTGACTCATTTGAACAAGCTTCAGCCTCTGAGAACACTGAGATCCAGAACAGAATGGAGCACAAAGTCTCCGAGTTTCTGAGCTTGGGCTGAGGAAGAGATGAATTATCACGGTACTGAGGGGAATTTACAGGGCATTCTGGTGCYATGTCCATGTCACTCTTATTAACACCACCCAAATAATTAATGAACAACAAACAGTGCAGATGCTTTCAGAGGCGAGTGCTCCCTTCCTCACTTCCTGCCATGATGAGAGGGAGAATACCTGTTGTGATGGTTATTTGATGGGCTGGAACATAATAAAATAGTCCTGACAGCTTTGCTGAGGCAGGCGACAGCTTTGGCTTTCTTGCATGAGCAGCCTCCGATCCCGCACGCCTCGGTGCTCAGCACGGGGGGAGCCGAGCGCTGGGAACCCTGYCCACGAGTTCAAGCAGATTTCTGTCCTCTTTGGAAAGATGGGGAAATTGTGGCTTTTTTTCCTTTGCTTTCAGAGATGTGATTTCATTTCCAATCTTTCCAGCTCTCTGCTGGGCAGCTCTTTCTTTAAATGAAAGCCAAGCGTGGATGGGGATCTGGGAGCTCCTGGAAAGAGCATCCAGGGTTTGCTGAAGTGGAGTTTGCTGCAGCAGGGGGGACCCGGGGCTGCCCAGGGCAAAGGGAGATAAAGTGATGGGGGGCTCAGAAGCTCTTCTAGAGTGAAACTGGGGACACATCTGGGGTGCTGAGAGCACATCTGGGGGATGCTGAGAGCATACCTGGGGATGCTGAGAGCACATTTGGGGATACTGAGAGCACATCTGGGGATGCTGAGGGCACATCTAGGGGATGATGCTGAGAGCTCATCTGGGGGATGCTGAGGGCACATCTGGAGGATACTGAACACATCTGGGAGGGATGCTGAGAGCACATCTGGGGGGATGATGAGAGCACATCTGGGAGGGATGCTGAGAGCACACCTGAGGTGCTGAGGGCACATCTGGTGGGGGATGCTGAGAACACATCTGAGGGATGATGAGAGCTTATCTGGGGGGATGCTGAGAGCACATCTGGGGGGGATGCTGAGAGCACACGTGGGGATGGTGAGAGCAGATCTGGGGTGCTGAGGGCATCCCTGGGGATGCTGAGAGCACATCTGGGGGATGCTGAGAGCACATCTGGGGGATACTGAGAGCACACCTGGGGGGATGCTGAGAGAACACCTGGGGGATGCTGAGGGCACATCTGGGGATGCTGAGAGCACACCTGGGGGATGCTGAGGGCACATCTGGGGGATGCTGAGAGCACATCTGGGGGGGATGCTGAGAGCACACCTGGGGACAATGCTGAGAGCACACCTGGGGGATGCTGAGGGCACATCTGGGGCCGATGCCCACCTGCAGTGCACCGGGGTGGGAGCAGCCAGGGTGTCCATCCCTGAAGAACATGGTTCTTTTTGTTTCCTGCAAACCGTGCAGGCTCAGTGCTGTTCCAGGCTTTCCCTGCTCTGCTGTGCSGATTTGTTGAAGGGGTGGGGGAGCGTTCAGTCCTGCAAATGATCGTTAATGCCAGTTGTGTGTGCACTTGGGGATTATGTTAATCATGCTACAAATGATGCTTTGAATCATGTCTGGAGGTTAATTAACATGCCTTTCTTCTCTTAAGAGGGCCTTCATGTCTGCTTAGAGTTGCTGGCTTTTTTCTGCTTCCTTTCATAATTACTTTGCAGCTCTCTAATATCATGGGTACCTTTAATTTAACCCTGTCGGTGCTGCTGAGGCTTTGCACTGTGCTTAACATCATGATGGTTATTTGATGGGCTGGAATATCATAAAACATCCCTGATGGCTGCAGATGTTGTGGACGGGCTGAGACCTTGCAGGAGCTGCTGGAAACTGGAGAGGATCTGGCTGGAGCCAGAGAGGAGCAAGGATGGTGATGGTGATAGTGCCCAGCCAATTTGTGAGTGAGGCCCTTACACTGACAATTAATGGAAAGGAGGATCTGTTGTGGGAGGACTTGGAGCTGTGAGGAGTGGAAAGGCAATCCCAAGGGATGCAGATGCCATGGGGAGAGGGGATTGCTTTTGGGAGGCCACCTGGAAGAAGCAGATGAACTTTCAAGCTCTGAGCTGTTTCATTTCATCTCACGACTTTTTCTTTTCTTTTTCCTGGTGCCAGATCACTGTGTACGTGCAAAATAGTGCTTCATCCTCAGCTAATTTATTTTCTCTTTCAGTGGGAGCATTTGGCTCATGGGTTYCTGTCTCAGTGCTGCACTTCGGAAGCTACTGCTGCCACATTTCAAATTTCTATTTTTATTTTTCCAGATAGTCTCCAATTATTTTCAGGCTTTGCCAAGCATGTAATCTAAAATAACAAAGGAGCTGATCAGCCCATGATATTCAGGTTAAAACCACATGGACCATTTGCCTATGTAGCCAGTGATGCCATGCTGGAGCAGAGCCCAAAATAATCTGCWCAGGACAGGGGGGAGGATTTGCACAGCCCCAGCAGCTCCTTGAGTGGGTCTTTCCTGGGTTTTAAAGCAGGACTCAAAAAGATTCAGCAAAGCTTAGTGAAAATGTACAGTAAAGCTGCTTACTCTTTAATTAGGAAATGCTGAAGGGTTCCAGAAATCTTCATTGCTGGTTTTTCACTGCTTCAGTTCCGCCCTGGGTCCCTGATGTCATTTGGGGTCTGCCCACTGTGGCCAGGTTTGCAGAGCAGTTACTCAGCAGCCCCGATCCCAGTGAAAAAGCACAAGGGTGCTCGTGGAGACGGGGAGAAATCTGTCAGTCTGTGGAAAATTTGTCACTCCTCTTGTAGCACAGGCTCTGGAACAAGGGAGRGATGGGGATTTGGGAGCCCCCAGCTTGCAGGGTGACCCAAGCAGGGACTCGTGCGTGTGCTGCTCCACCTCCAGAGCCGCCTATCAGACCAGCACATTAACTTGGGATTATCAGCAAATCAACTTTTAGCTCCTCATCCTAAGAACTTCCCAAGAGACCAGACTCTGTCTGCCAGTCCATTTGATTTTTAATTGCACTTACACAACCTTGGCGAGAGTTGGAAGTGCTAAGAGTAAGGAATTCTTGACATCACCGCTCTCATGCACATTTCCCCGAAGCAGCAGACTTTATCTGCTTCCATCAGCCACCCAGAGTTTTTTGACCWACATTAACAGGACTGGAAATACCTGGTGTTGGGGAGAACTGTAATTCCTGGGCTGTGGCCCCACATTTCAGYGCCCAAGTGACAAACCATCCCCAGRACTCACTGACCAGTGACSTGCTAASCYGGGCTGAAAGGGKCACTGAGACAGGACCAGCTTAAGGGTGGGCCACGGGAGGTCAAGTTGATTGAAAATGCAGCCAGGCTGCTCTCAGGATTAGTTCTATCCACTGCTCTCAAAAGGAGATGGAAGCTGCTTTGCKTAGACAAAGAG